GTGTGTGTGTGTGTGTGTGTGTGTTTGTGTGGAGAAGAAGGGATTGCAGTGAGGCCATCCCCCCTGGGGGGTGATTTCTTGCTTTCTGTCTCTCTGCCTCTCTCTGTCTTTCTGGCGAGCGCACGTGCCCTACAGCAAAAACCTCTCCAAAAAAAAAAAAAAAAAACAACAAAAAAGAACCTGATGTCTGGTAGTCATGGCCCATGACCAGCTATGCACATTGGCAACTTCCCGGTTAGATAAGACTGAACTCTTGGTTATTTCCCCTGGAGAAGAAGTAGCAGAGGTGATGAGCCCCACCATTGAGGGGCTCATCCCTAAAGAGCGGACCATGCATTAGATCTGGGATCCCCATCAACCCTTCAGGCCTGTACAGAGCTGCGTCCTGAAGCCCTGCTGCAGGGGAGGCTCGAGAGTCAAGCAGGTCTCCAGCCAGGACCCGCCTGCTGGGAACATGCATGTCGTGGCCATGGAGCAAGGGCTTCTTCCCAGCAGGCATCTGTATCTCTGTGCAGTCTTCTTTGGACAGCTTTCTCTGTGCCAGGAGGCTCCAGAGACTGTCTTTACACTGTAAGGCAGCCTGATGCACGCATGCCTTTGGGGTTCTCTGCATCCTAAAGCTGGTGACCTAAAAGCATCAAAGGATAAAGTAACTAACAGTGATGTGGGGATTAGCAATCTCAGTCTGGTCCCGGTTTTGCCTTTTATTAAATGTGATATTCTGGGCTTCAAGTATAAACGAGGACAATGACTTCTTTTTCTCACCTCATAATAGTCATTGACTTAAAGACTAGGCATTGAGCACCTGTTATGCGCCACTCACTGCTCCAAACAGGGGACCGATGAACAAGACAGACGCAACTGCTCTGTCCTGCAGCCAAAGCCACACGTGAGCACCTTCTGTTGACAGCGAGGGGTGCCGCAAACATCACACGCTCTCCCTGCTATTGTGGTTTGAAGGGAGTTTTTCACCTAGTGCGGCAAGAAACACAGACTCAGGGTTGCAGACAACATAAATGGGGAAAATATCTCCAATGGAGTTGATGGTCCTTGACCCCAATTAAGGAAAAATCACAGCAGGCTTGGGCATGCCCATTCACTTCCCTCCTTAGGTCTCTCGGAAGAGAAGTTGGTGGGATGGACCTCCACTATGCGAACGAGCACGAAGCCCCCTTAGGGTTTGGGCAGAGCTGTGTGATCTTGCTGTGAATGAGGGCGGGATGGCGGTGGCTGTCTAGGCACCCCGGGCACTCAAGCCTCATGTCCTAGGGGGACTGCCTCACTGCATTTGTTTGTTGGACGTCCAGCTGGAGCCCCACCCTCCTCCCCTTGGTTTCTTTAGCATGGATTATAACAGTAAACCACTGGGAACGAGAACTTGCTTAGAAATGAACTGAAATAGTCGTAATAGGAGGTGCTGGTTGCTACTGCTTGGCCGGCTAAGGGCACATGGGAGACTCCATTTTGACGTCCTGCTTCCAGGAACCCCAGGCAGGATGGAGCATATCTGTAGCTAGCTGCCCGAGAGGCTGAAGGCAGAGGATGGCAGCATAGCTAGACAAGATCTAAAAAAAAGCTAAAACACACACACATAACCAAAAATAAAATGAGAGAAAATAAAAACATAAAATGGAAAGTTATACAAAATGAAACATTTTTAAGAGAGATATTTAAAAATAATTATTTAATTGTATTCATTACTATTATTTTTAATTTGACCAGAGAGAGAGAGAAAGTGAGAAAGCAAGCTGCTGGGTGCAGGGTTCAAACCGCAGTTGGAGTCCAGCACCTCAACCACCACTCCATCTGCTGGTCCAGGAGAGAGAGATTTTTGCTAGAGGTGCATGTGCTTGCCGGAGATACAGAGAGACAGAGAGACAGGAAACAAGAAATCACCCCCAGGGGGGATGGCCATGCTGCAATCCCTTCTCCATTTTCCTCTCACGATACTGGGCAAACAAGCACACACTCCCAGCGTGAGTTGTAAGTTGCTGGGTCCAGAACTCGAACCACAGTTGACTACGTGGGAATCCAATGATGTAACCATTATGCCACCTGCTGGTCCCAAAACATGTTTTTTAAAAAGACTATACCCCATGACCAGGTAGGCTTTATTCCAGGGATACAAGGGTGACTTGGCATATACAAAACCATAAATGTAATCTATCATATTAACAGAAAGATAAAAATCATATGATCATATCAATCTATGCGGAAAAAGTATTTGATAAAACATAGCATCCCGGGACCAGCTGATGGTGAGAGGGGAATAGAGGAGAAGGGATTGCTGCATAGCCAATCCCAGGGCGGGGGGTGAGGGGGTTCTCGTTTTCTGTCTCTCTATCTCTCTGGTGAGCACATGCCCCCTATAGCAAAAATCTTTTTTTTTTTTTAAATACAACATCGCTTTATGATAAAGACTCTCAGCAAAATTGGCATAGGAGGGACATTTCTCAACACAATAATATATATATATGTGTGTGTGTATATATATAATATCCATACACATACATAACACATATATGCTATATATAATAAACATACACATATATCACATATATATGCTGTATATATGCTACACATGTGCTATATATATGCTATAATATATGCTATACATATACTATATATATATATGTATCTATATATAGAGAGAGATCATTTCTATATATGAACAATGAGCAGACTGAGATAGAATTAAAGAAAGCAATTTGATTTACAATATCCAGAAAGAGTATAAGATACCTAGTAATAAACCTAACAAAAGAAGTAAAAAACCTCTATAAGGAAAACTCTGAAAAATGAAGAAAAAAGAAATTGACATAAAAAAGTGGAAGGACATCCCATGTTCTGAATTGGAAAAATTAATACAATCAAAATGTCAGTTTTACCCAGATTAACCAAGAAATTTAATGCAATCCCAATCAAATTACCAGATATGTGCTTCAATAATTAAGAAAAACAATCATAGAATTTGCCTGGAATTATGAAAGACCCCATATTGCCAAAGCAATACTAAGCAAGAAGAGTAGAGTATTAGGCACGTCACTCCCTGACCTCCAAATACATTACAAAGCTGTGATAATCTAAACAGCATGGTATTGGCACAGAAACAGGTTTGTGGACCAATGGAACAGAATAGAGACTACAGAAATAAACCCAAAGTATCCAGTCAACTGTTTTTTTTTTTTTTTTTGGAGAGGTTTTTGCTATAGGGCATGTGCTCTCGCCACACAGAGCAGAAAGACAGAGAGAGACAGAGAGACAGAAGGTGAGAAATCACCCCCCAGGGGGGATGGCCACACTGCAATCCCTTCTCCTCCATTCTCCTCTTGGGATCTTGGGCATGTCCGCACATACGCCCAGAGTGAGTTCAAGCCACCGGGTCCGGGACTTGAACCACAGTCAACTATATGGGAATTCAGTGACATAGCCATTTCGCTAACTGCTGGTCCCAGCCAACTGATTTTTGACAAAGGGCATCAGACAATGTAGTGAGGAAAGGAAAATGTACCAAATGGTTTTGGAAAAACTAGGTATCCACTAACAGAAGGGTGAAATTGGACCGCTACCTCTCATCATTAAGAAAAATCAACTCAAAATGGATCAGAGATCTAAGAGCTACTGGTGGATAACACAGGGAAAACTCTTGGAGACATCAGAATAGGCAAAAACTTTTTAAATAAGACCCCAAAACACAGGCAGTAATCCCTGAAACAGACAAGTGGGATTACATCAAGTTAAAAAACTTCTGCACAGCAAAACAATATTTAGAGAGAATCAACAACCCTCAAAATTGTTTTTTTTTTTTTTTTTTTGAGAGATTTTCACTATAGGGCGCGTGCACTCGCCAGACAGACAGACAGAGAGAGACATAGAGACAGAAAGCGAGAAATTACCCCCCAGGGGGGATGGTCACACCACAATCCCTTCTCCTCCGTTCTCCTCTCGGGATCTTGGGCACGCACGCACACATGCCCGGCGTGAGTTTTAAGCCACCGGGTCTGGGACGCGAACTGCAGTCGACTACATGGGAGTCCGGCGACATAGCCATTACGCTAACTGCTGGTTCCCAACAACCCTCAAAATTGGAGAATATATGTGTGAACTATACTTCAGATAAGGGACTGATAACCAGAATATACAGGAATCTCAAGCAGCTTACCTGAAAAAAAAAATCAACCCAATTAGAAGATGGCCAAATGCGCTGACAGACAACTCTCTAAGGAAGACATAGGAACAGACAAGAAGCATATAAAAATGCTCAAATTCCTTCTTATGAGGGAGGTGGAAATCTAAACCACAATGAGACACCACCTAACCCCAGTCAAAATAGCTAAGATTAAAAAAAAGAATGCTAAGTGCTGATGAGGCTGTGGTGAAAAGAGAGCTCTCTTACTTTGTTGGTGGGAATGTAAATTAGTACAGCCAATGTGGAGAACAATACAGAGGTTCCTCAAAGACCTACAAAAATCAGTACCATATGATTCAGCAATTTCACTCCTGGGTATCTACCGAAAAGATAGGGATACATTCAGTTAGAAAAACACTTGCACATCCGTGTTTATTGCAGCATTATTCACAATTGCTAACACATGGAACCAACGTAAATGTCCACGAACAGATGAATGTATAGAAAAAGCATGGCACATACACTCTATGGACTTCTACTCAGCCATAAAATAATGAGACCCTGGCATTTGCCAGAAAGTGGACAAATATGAGCGATTTCCTGCTAAGTGAAGCAAACCAGACTGTGAAAGAGAGGCATTGCATGTTCCCGCTCAACATTTACCAAATGTCTGCACTCTATGGCAGAAACTGAAGGATTAGAAGATATAAAAGCAGGGAGATCCACTGTGAATACTAGAGACAGGTGGGAGGAAGGTGGGATGTGGCAGAGGATGAGAAAGAGGGAATCAAGGGGAAAGAGAAAGAAGCAAAACGTTTAAGGAGCACAAAAATGGGAAATTGTCAAACCTTCCCTTTTGGTCTGACAGCAGGTGAAGAAGTGAGAATTCGTGTACATCTGAGGTGGGCCCAGTCCTGCGCCTTTAACTGGAAAGCCTGAGCCTTTGCCCCAAACCTCTCCTTCAGACCCGACACCGAGCAAAGTGAG